TCAAGCCATAGCTACTTCAAATCCTAATTTCATTAATAATTTTAACTAAGTGCAAAAAAGCAAACAATAACCAAAATCAAATGTACGCCTTATTAGAGGCCTCTTGTAATAATAATAATGGTTAAGTCCCCCATTGGCCTCAATTTGTGTTCTTGGAACGCAAACGGTCTGCTTAGACGTAGAGTAGAACTACGAATATTTATAGAGAAGCACTCCTCCGATATTTTTTCATACAGGAAACTCATCTGAGACCATCGCACACTTTTACAATAGCTTATTACACTTGCTACAGAAATGACAGGATCACTAACACAGCGGCCACCGGCGGAACTCTTATTCTTATCAAAAAGTCTCTTAAACATTACTGTCTCCCCCCACACACTACAAGCTGTCGAAGCGACTAACATTATACTAACTCCCCACGACCATGACCCCGTTTCTATTGTCTCTGTTTACATTCCCCCTTCCTCAGACGAAAACTTATTTACAATAGACTTAGAATATATTTTCTCCGAACGAGTAGTCATTGTGTCGTCTTCGGTGATTTCAATGCTACCCATAGCGCTTGGAATTGCAATGTAAATTCAAACAGAGGCAAACATCTTTTTAATTTTGCCAACATCTTAAATCTGCACATAGCTTTTCCTGACTCCCCCACAATATTTGGCCATAACTCAGCTAACACAATAGACTTCGCTTTAATCAAAAACTTTTACTACCCTTATACTATTAAATCCTTTAATGACCTCTATTCTGACCATAACCCTGTTTTCCTAAATTTCGATTTTAAACTTAAAGTGGAATCCTCAAATCCTAGAGCGATTACCACCAACTGGAAGGATTTTAGAAATTTTAATTTAAATAAAAACTTCTCTCTTTTTAACTACTATCCGAATAATATTAATAATACCAATGATCTTGAAACCAAATATAAAGAGTTCACCGAAGCGGTCGTCGTTACCCATAGCCACCCCGCCTCCCAACCAATAGAAAATGCTCGCCGAAACTTCACTCCAAATCACATTAATCAACTTATTAAGCATAAAAACAACCTTCGTAAGCGCTATCAGCAGACTTTAAATCCTTTTTATAAAACATTATACAGTAGAGCTCAAGCCAACCTCAAAAAGGAACTTAAAATACACTGCTCAAAACAATTAAAGGATATTGTAAGTTTTATATAAAATAAAGATATAAGCGAAAAAATTTTTTTGCCGAAAATGGAAGAAGAGAATCACAAATGCAAATTTTTCTGATTTTCAAACTGTGGAGTATGCTAATTTTGAGTTCGACGTCAAAAACGTCGCTTCAGCGGCAGCGAATGAAATTTGACTTACAACTGAAATGTAGACATGGATGATCGGCATTCAGTGACTGTTTTGTTAAGATGATTACGATGTCTCAGCGAAGTCGTTTAACCGATTCAGATGCTTGGAGAGTTGTTGGTAGGTTAGAAAAGGGCCAAACTCAAGCCGAAGTAGCTCAAGCCATTGGAGTGTCACAAAGGGTGATTTCCAGGATCTGGAACCGTTTTTTGGAGACTGGAAGTGCAGGCCGAAGACCAGGACAAGGTCGTAGACGGGCAACAACGCCCAATGAAGATCGTTATTTAGTGTTAACTGTTCGGAGACACCGAAATATGAACGCTACTCTTCTCCAACAACACCTTGGCTCGGCTACTGGCACCACGGTTTCAACTCAGACTGTCCGAAACCGGCTCCATGGTGTAGGTATGTATGCTCGTCGACCGATGGTATGTGTTAGACTAACATCAAGGCATCGTCGTGACCACAGGGAGTGGACAACAGTGCATGTGAATTGGAGGAGAAATGAATGGAGCGATGTTCTTTTTATGACGAGTCCTGTTTTTCTGTTCATCCGGATAATAGGCGTATTTTCATCGGGAGGGACCGTGGCAGTAGGAATAATCCTGCGTTCGTGCACGAAAGTGTCAGATTTGGCGGTGGAGGAGTGTTGGTGTATGGTGGCACCTACATTGATGGGCGCACAGACCTCTACATCATTCGAGATGGACCTCTGACTGCTCGCCAATATAGGGATGAGATCCTCAGTCATATTTTAGTCCCTGACGCTGCAGCAATCGGCGATGACTTCATTTTAATGGACGATAACTGCAGGCCACATCGTGCTAACCTGGTGGATGATTTCCTTTTCGAGGAAGGAATCGTACGAATGTAATGGCCAGCGTGTTCTCCAGGCATGAATCCAATAGAGCACGTTTGGGACGCTCTAGGAAGACGAGTTGCTGGCCACCAACCACCCCCACAAACTCTCCAAGAACTGGAAAGAGCTCTTTGGAAGAGTGGGACAGAATACCCCAACTTGTGATTAATAGCCTCATTGAATACATGCCTCAAAGGTGCTCAATGTTGCTGGCCGCCCATGGAAACCATGTGGAAACTGAAAATGATTTCCTTGAAGAAAACACCTTTTCTTTTTTTTTTCTCAATTGCACAAATTGTGTTTTTTTTTTTCCTTTTGTACAAAATGCGCAATAAAATGGATTTTTTCTGCCAAACATGTGTAATTTATTCTCATATAACCTACCACGTCTGTCGACCATGTATCAATCAGCTAAAAAGTTTGCCAGCCACAAGGTCCACCTAAAACCGCAATATCCTTTAATTATTTTGAGCAGTGTATATAGTAATGATACTTGGAATGCTAGACTAGAAGCTTTAAATACATCTGACAATGGCCTCTGGGAGGCGCAGCGATTCTTAAAAAATAAAAGATCTCAAATACCTACGTTGAACTGTGCTACTGGTATGGCCGTCACTGATCCGCAGAAGGCTAACCTTCTTGCTAATACGATTAAAAATAACTTCATTGAAATTAACCGCATGCAGGACAACTACGAACAAGATGACAAGGTTGTCACCTCAGCTGTGAATAACTTTCTCTCTTCCTCCCCTTCTACTCAAATTGAACCTGCCATGCCTGATGAAATTATTAACTTCATTAAAAATACTAGCTCTAAAAAGACCCCCGGTAAAGATACTATCACCAATAAAATGCTAAAAAATTTTCCTATCGAACTAATCCTCATACTAACTATTCTTTTCAACAAAATTCTTAAATTTCATCACTTTCCTAGTAACTGGAAAGAAGCTATCATTTTCCCTATAATTAAACATGGTAAAAATAAAAATCTTCCTAATTCATATAGACCCATTTCTCTCCTCTCAACTTTAAGTAAAAAAAATTAACTGAGTACATTATTCTTAATAGACTTAAAAAATCATTAATGATAAAAGCCTAATTAACCCTAATCAATATGGATTTACAAATAAACTATCTACTCTTCATCCTCTTCTCAGACTAACAGAAAGTATCTCGGAAGGTTTCCATAAAAAGAAGAGCACGGGATTAGTCATTCAGGATATCCAGAAAGCCTTCGACCGTGTTTGGATTTTAGGATTCACTTTCGAACTAATTACTTACGAAATTCCCTCTCCCCTCATCCACTCGTACCTCACTAACAGATCCTTTCGGATTAGAGTAAATGAATCATTATCTAACTCTCATTCCATCTCTGCAGGGTGTCCTCAGGGCTCATTGCTTGGGCCCCTGTTGTTCAATCTCCATATTAATGACATTCCCAGCTATTTACTAACAAAAATTAGCCTCTATGCTGATGATACGGCCATTAATGCCACGTGCAGAAACTTAGTCTATTACTTTTGCCATTAACAAACACCTCAAGCTGCTAGAAAATTATTACGACAGATGGAAAATTAGTATCAATGTAAAAAAGTCTTGTGCAGTCATCTTATAACCAAAAAACGCACCACACCTCCCCCTACAATAAACAAATTCCCTGGTCTCCGAACACCAAATATCTTGGCGTTATTTTTGACTCACACTTAACTTGGAAACAACACAACTTACACGTTCGCGATAAGTTCCGAAAAATTATGTTTAAACTTTTGCCCCTAATTTCCCGGAACTCACATTTAAGTAGAGATAACAAAGTGCTTCTCTATACAGCCGTTATGCGTCCAATCATTGCTTACGCCTGTCCAGTATGGGGTTATGCTGCTAAACCCCCCCCCCAATATTAATATTTTAAATACTCTGCAAAATTCCTATATTAGAATGATTGTAAATGCCTGCCGCTACATGCGAAATGATGACATTAATAAAGCCCTTAAAATCACTAGTTTTAAAGCACATATTCAAAAATTAGCTATAAACTTTTTCGATAATTTACCGCGGTAAATACGGACCGTGGCTTGCTTTGTCACGGGTTTTGAGCCCAGTACCACTAAAGAACCGTAAAGACCCGCCGTATGGGCAATATGTTAAATTTAAACGATTACAAATGTAACGATAATACTAAAAGCCCTCGAGAAGAATATTCAATCAATCAATCAATCAATGATAATTTACCAAATACTAATAACGTAAATATGTTAAATTTAAACGATTACAAATGTAACGAACCCGAGAAAATTCTCTGGATTCTAGCATTTGTATCCTTGCAATAATTTTTAATTATTGCACCCTAGTAAATTTTTAAATTCTTAATTCCTTTTAGTCTTATATTTTTAATAATCTTTATACCCCACTGGACAAGCGTCTTTCCCCCTCTTACATTCTATAACTTTATCTACCCCATGGGCAGCCAGCCTGAGGCTAAATTCACTTCCACCCCCACCTCCAACTCACATCCAGAGAACATTTTCATAAGTTCTCAGTACTCATAAAATAAAATGATCATTTTACCCCAAAACTGCATCTCTAAGCCCCTCATCCCGGATTCCAAACTACCTGATAGGAGAATCGCCGACATGCCACTCCGCAAACTGTCAAAATAACGAAGTCAAGTCCTGCATCAAAGACATTATGATATGGGATTGAAGACTGTTTATTAGTCCAGGTACCCAAAAATAGACTTTCATCCACGAACTCTCCCTACTAGTAGTGACGTCACAAATCAACATCAACGCAAAGCAAAGGTTCGCTGACGGGGAGGGGAGAGTATAGCTCAGTGGTAGAGCATTCGACTGCTTATCGAGAGGTGCGCGGTTCAAAGCCGGGTGTCCCGTTCTTCAGAGAAGAGAAATATTTTTTGAGAACTTCGAAGGCGGGGATGTGATCTGCTCCGTTCTGTATATTTCTAGACAAAGCATTTTCGTATCCGTTCCTACGGAAAGCAAAATAAAGGTGCGTTGACGCGGGGGTATAGCTCAGTGGTAGAATATTCGACAGCAGATCAAGAGGTCCCAGGTTCAAACCCGGGTGTCCTCTTCTTCAGAGAATTTCGAAGGCGGGAATGATCTATCCCGTTCTGTATATTTCTAAACAAAGCATTTCCGCATCTGTGACGGTGTGCGCGCCCATCGTAGAAATTCACCCCCTCATGGTTCTTCTTCCCTAACGCCCCAAAACCCTTCTTCCCAACGCCCCCAATAGAAGTATAACTTCAAAAATTTATATTTGGGAGTGAGAGAGATTTTGAACCAGTTGCTTAGTTCTTATGTTAATATCATCTTTAATAAATAGGTATTGCATGCAGAAAACGATAATTCAAAGAATACAATTTTGAAGATCGCTTCTGTTGAATAAATGCTATGGTAAGCTAAGGCTTCAACCAAATATTACGTTTCCGTTTTATAACTTAATACAGAGCATATTATACAGAAATTATCTATATAGCTGAGTGGTAGTGGCAGAGCGGTAGCGCATTGTGCTTCTCCGCCACAAGTCCAAGGTTCGAACCCTGGGCTGGGCAAAGTCGACTCGGCCTTTCATCTCTTCAGTGGGTTGATAAATGAGTACCAAGCTTGCTTGGAAACTTAACAGGGGTGGTTTCGCGTCCAACTAGCCACCTGACCGGAACATCTACTCATGCACCTCAGTCCCCAAGGTCAGGAAAACTGAGACGGGCACAGTAGACCTTTGATTTGAGTCATCAATAATGAACAAAACTACCAGTTCATGAATATTTTTTAAAAAATGTATCTTGAAAATATAATGTTAATCTCAGCTCTAAATTATCTTTTGCAATACAACGTGAAATTATAATTGAATGAATTGATTCCATTGATTTAAATCCTACAGAGAGGTATTTCTTAATTATTTAAATAATTTCAAAAGGTACTGAAAAATTTTAAGATTACCCTCTCTTATCTTCATCTAGCTCTCTCTATTACCTGTATTTTTTCACTCCTGAAGACGAGTTTAAAACGAATTAGGTTTAAAAAATGTGCGGTATTTAAGTACATTTCGGCAACGCGAGTGAAGATAATAACTAATGGAAATAAAAGAACAAATGAGAAAGAAACCGTCTCTACCAGCATCTATATCAAATTAATTAATAAATGTTTCTTTCAAACAGGTATTTTGTTGAAAAAAAATTCTTATTCTTTTATTACTGCATATTGTCTATTTTTATTTTTTCCTTTAGTGATCAAAGAAACATATTTATTTCCTTATTCTGGATTTTTGTTTCTCTTCAATAGTCGTTCCGTTTTCAGTGAAACTATGCATAACTTAATTCAAAGGTGTCACTTTTATTTAAAGTAATTACAACATAAAAGAATGGAAATACCTAAAATTGTACTTGAACAAGGCTATTTAGTTAAAAAAAATTACAAGATTGAATTATGTATTATTAGTACTTATTTATATAATACGGCAAGTTACCAGATAAGGTCTCTCTCCCTCTACATGTATTGTGTATACATCTTGCAGGCAAAATTTGAATTTTTCCTACATTATTTCCGCATTTAATAGTAATACTTTTTTCAGGCTTCATTTCAGTATTGGTTTAATTAAATCATAGTTATATACTGGAAAACATTCGAATTATTATTTGTTTTGTAACTGTTATATTTTAAAAAAATGCAAATTTCTAACAGTTTGTTTAGTGGAATAATTACATAAAATCTAATTATTGGGTAAGTTTTATGAAGTTCGTGTGAATTTTAAAAAATTTAATACAATTTAGTATGCTCAAATCAGTTAATTTTTTCATGTCAAAGAAATCTGCCCATTTTATCAAATTCAGTTTTTTAAAAAAATGCTTTAAAATCTGTCCTTTTCATTTCAAATTTTCTTTTATACATTAAAAAAAAATCCATAACAGATTTATACAATACAGACCTGTTTATGGTGATACAAAAACTATGAATACAACTAAGTACTAAGTGGAATTTTGGTGGAAAATTCTACATTTTATCTAGTTATCACGTCAATTTTTAGTTCATATAAGATATTTATACAGATCTGATCTTTTTTAATGGGCCACAGTCTAGTACATTAGTCCCGGATTCGAAACTTGATTTTGCTAAGAATTAATTTTTTGAAATTTTGCAAGTTTGACTTATTATACGAAACGGAATCTCAAATTTCTCCAGTAATATTGTGTGGTTGTTAATCTACACTATTAAAATTCGTAGGTAAACAAACGTATCTATCTATACGGCCCCTATCTTCTCACGAACCGCACAAAGCAGAAACTCGCCGAAGGTACCAAAAAATTCGGGAATGATCCGAGAAATCCGTTTAGACAATTTATATTCCGATATTCCAATTCGTTAAAAAAGATAATTAATTAAAACCTTAAAATGCATAATTAGTGCCATTTTTCACCACCTGGGGCTAAGTTCAACTTTTTTTTTTTTTTCAGACGGACGTTTTTAAAACCCGACCTAATTTTTTTCATGAGACTCTGACAAAAAATAATTACAGATTCGGAAAGATCATTTACTTCGCCACGATACGGTATAGTTAATTTTACAAAATAATAACATTTTCTATTTTTTAAGATTTTTTTAAATGAGTCAAAATCGATACGTTTTTATGATTATGATTTCTAAATCGTTCCGCTTGCATTTTCTTTATAGCTAATGAAAAAAATATTTTACATTAAAAAAGTTCATGCTTTTCTCTTTTAGAATCTGTTACTTAAAAATTAAATGTCAAAAATTGTTTGTTTTTTTTTACAATTTTTCAAAAAATACTCCAAATTTTATTTAAATACTTAATAACTTCTTTATTTATAAAAATAATCTCACGTGCGTTTCTGTGTGTAGAATAATATTATACGCAATCTGTACAAAGATTGATAAAATATCTCAAAAATTACGGTTTATTTTAAAAAAAAATTGTGCTTTTCGTTTAATACCGTTTTTACGAGATTCCGTTAAAACAGTATTTTCCTTAAATTTTTTATTTTAAAATTAACGTTGTTTGTTATCGATGTGGGAAATTTGGAAACTTCAACTTAAAAATTAACTACTCAAAAAATGAAAACTTTAAAAAACATTCGCAAGATTTTTAGTGCTGTGCGCATGCGGAAACTCCAATCTTCGCGTTAGTGACGCTGCTGTTTAGAACTAAGCCGGGTGGAAGGAGGAGGTTGTTTTCAGGGACTAAGACTGTGGGAATTTTCCCGTGTGATACTTGCTCCTCGCTTGAGTGAATCATTTCATTCATTACCGATAATTGTTTTAAAGTGCGTGCTTTTTACCCTTTTATTCAAATCTATTTTCAATCGAACATTCAAAAACAATGCAATAAAGAAATTAATAGTCTTTTCAATAACCAGCGGGGGGAATTTTTGTATAACAGTGGAATAAAAAAAAACTTAAGAATTATGCTGTTACAAAACAACGAAATTTTGCTTATAAATAAATGTATTTAAAAATTAATATAGTAAAATTAATACATATCTTTCTTTTGATTTAATTATTTCACAATTTTTTTTTAAATATCTAATAAGTCTTTATCAATAAACGATATTTTTTATTTTACAGCCATTTTTCTTTAAGACATAAGACTTCTTTCTTTTTTGTGACATAAAGGTATGTCACAACTAATTGTTCAATGAACATTTTCTATCAATTTTTTTTTATTTCAAAACCTAAGAAGGAAATGTAACGATTGACTGACCCTTCTTCTTTGTAAATGAAAAATACCAAACACCTTTTATTTTAATCTCTAAGAAAATAATTATTGTTAAAATAATGAATATGTTTGTTTTGTATAATATACTTTTTTTCGTCAGATACATGTTTAAATGATTTACCAGGACAGAGCTGAAAAACAAAAATAATTATAAAATACTAAAATATTTTTATCAGACATATATCATTTGCAATTTTGAATGTTATTTTTGAATTCATATAATAAAAAAAAGTCCGTAAAAACTTTAAAAATTCATAAAATCCGTAGAAATAAACAAAAAAAAAACTGTTTATCAGCATTGGTTTGTTTGCACGGGATTTTTTAAGCGTGAATTAAAAGTACATAATTTTTGAAAACATCGGTAGGTGGCGCTGTTACTTGTCTGTGGTGGAAATATGCAAATTTTTTAAAAAACCTTTTTTTTTAATGAATCCACATTATTTTACACATATATAAACAAACATGAATACAGTGAACAAGAATGCTCAATACCGGATACAATTATTAACCTTTAACGCTAAAATGCTTTAGTATAGTTATTTTAAAAAAATGAACGAGGAATCAGCGACCATTGCCTTGAAATTTTTTCAGAAAAATGTGAAGAGTGGAAAAGGCCCTTTAACACCTGCAGGTTTTAAAGCATAAAACATTTTGAGGCACTGGATCTTAGGATCGAGCAAAACCATGGTTGAAAGATGCACGTGCACCCATTGCTGTCGAAATGGAAATCTCGGAATCATATAGTGCAATAGTTTTTAAATGTACCAGAAATTGCAAGAACCATATCTGTCCGCAATATTCTTCGAGAAAAAAAGGGCTGTAAAAACTAAAATTGCAATCGTGCCATGAACTTTTGCCAGCAGATACACTTGATTAAGTATTTGCGAAGTGGGCCTATTTTTAAAAATGGAACAGGATCCCACCTGGGTTTTAACATCTTGTTACAGATGAAGCTCATTTCTAAATTCATGGTGACGTTTTAACCATAACTTCGATTTGGGTGACCTAATCACGTGAGCATAATCTTCGAGCCATTGCTTGTAAAAGTGACAGCATTTTTTCACGTATTTTTATCAAAACCCTTCTTTTTGAATATGCCCAAAAATGGATGGATAACGGAAACGGTAAATGCATTATCAAC